AGTGCACTCAGCAGCTCTCAAGTTCCTCGGGAGCAATGAATAGCGGAGGTGGGGGGACGGGTGCAGGGGAAGTGAAGAGGGCAGCAACGGTGGCAGGAAAGGTGCGTTGCATCCCTGGCAAGAAGTGCACTCAGCAGCCCTCAAGTTCCTTGGGAGCAATTCTTTGAAATTCGCAAAAGTGATTTCATTTCAACCTGTGAACAATGTTACAGAAATTTGTGAGGCAGCCACTGGACTGGAGTAGGAGAAGCATTTGCAGAGCAGGAAGCGGTGAGGAAAAGGAGAGGAGGGGAGGGAGAGGGTATGGTGAAGGGAGGAGCGCCTGGGTGAGCAGTGCACCTGCGCTTTGGGAGGGCGAGTCCTTGCAGTGGGGCGAACACTGGAGTAGGAAAAGCAATTGCGGTGCAGGAAGCGGTGAGGAAAAGGAGAGGGGGGGAGGGAGAGGGTATGGTGAAGGGAGGAGCGCCTAGGTGAGCAGTGCACCTGCGCTTTGGGAGGGCGAGTCCTTGCAGTAGGGTAAACACTGGAGTAGGGAAAGCAATTGTGGAGCAGGAAGCGGTGAGGGAGGACGGGGAGGGTGAGGGGGGGAGGGAGAGGGTATGGAGAAGGGAGGGGTGCCTGAGTGAGCAGTGTGCCTGTGCTGTGGGAGGGCGAGTCCGTGCAGTGGGGCAGACGAGGGTGGCTTATCTGTGTGCCAAAACCTGTGGGCTAGACGTGGGTGTGGTGTAGGAGTCACTTTCGAGTCACACGAGTGACTCCAGAGCGGGTGCAGGTGCAGGTGCAGTGGGAGGGAATTGGCTAGTGGGGCAAATGTGGGTGGCTTATCTGTGGGCCACAAACTGTAAACTAGATGTGGATGTGGTGTAGGAGTCACTCTTGAGTCACTCGAGTGACTCGAGAGCAGGTGCAGGTGCAGTGGGAGGGAGCTGACGAGTGGGGGGGCAGACGTGGGTGGCTTATCTGTGGGCCAAAACCTGTGCGCTAGGTATGGGTAGCTAATCTGTGGGCTAGACGTGGGTGTGGGAGAGCAGGTGCAGTGCTGGGGGGAAGGGGGAAATGGGGAGGAAGAGAGGAAAAGCAGCAGTGGCTCATGAAAGGGTTGGGTAGAGAGAGCCGTAGAGGTGCGAACTGCACCTGCACCTGCCCTCGAGTCACTCGTGCAAACTGTGGGCCCGAAGTCGGTACAGGAGAACCAGGTGCAGAGCTAAGGGGTGGGATGTGGGAGACGATTTTTAAGGCGCCTAAATTAATGAGGTGCCTAAAAAAATGAGGCGTCTAAAAAAATGAGGCGCCTAAAAAACCAGCTGCAGAGATAGATGGGAGGGATGTGGGAGACAGTGCTGTAGGGGAGTGAATTGGTGAGTCCGTGTTATTAAAGAAGCTAGGGTACTGGGGGGTACGATGGAGATAAGAGGGATAGAGGTCAAGGGAAGGGTGAGTAATGCGCATGTGTCGTAATGGCAGATGTCAGGGGTTACAAGTCGGTGTGAAATGCCCAAACGCTTTTGAGTCGCCTCAAAAGCTTGAGTAGACTCAAAAGCTTGAGTAGACTCAAAAGCTTGAGTCGACTCAAAAGCAGTAGTGCACATGCGTGGTAATGGCAGAAGGGGTCACAAGTCGGTGTGGGATGCTCAAAAGCAAGGCTGAATGGATGGGATAAGGGATGGGAGGAGGCGAATGGGGGCTGGTTAAGAAAGGGGTATTGGGATTTGGGAGGAGAAGGGAGGCAATTGGAGCGGGGATGGGGGGAATGAATGAATTGCAACCTGGTCGGCTTGGAAGGTGAAGGTGTGCAGAGACGGAGGATGCGGGAGGGGGGGAGACACTCGGCTCGTGCCTGGGGTGATGTAGGAAGGGGCATAGCATGATGGGATGGGGGAAATGAATGGATTGCAACCTGGTCTGTCCATCAGCTCCCTCCATCAGGGGAAGGTGAAGGCGGGCAGAGGCAGAGGACGCGTGAGGGGGAGAGGCACTCGTCTTGTGCATGGGGTGATGTAGGAAGGGGCAATGCATGATGGGATGAAGGGGGAGCAAAGGGGAAGGTGAAGGTGTGCAGAGGCGGAGGATGCAGGAGGGGGAGAGACACTCAGCTCGTGCATTGGGGTGAGGGGCATAGCATGATGGGATGAAGGGCATGGCACGTTGAGATGAATGGGGTGGCGGTTGTTGGGTATGGGTGTGGGGATGAACATATTGAATACGGGAGGGAGGGCAGAGGCAGTATAGGGAGATGCCAGGGAGGGAGCGGAAGAGAGGACTTGAAAGGGAAGGAAAGAAAAGGGACCTGGGGGGAAGACGAAAGACGATGTGGGCAGCGGAATGTGGTTGGGAAGACGGAATGTGAGGGGAAAGGGGTCGCGAGGAACGGAGCAGGTGGTATGTTGGAGGAAAACACTCATGCAATGACCAGCTGAGGAACAAGGTTGCTCTCATTGAGAGTTGAACTCAAGACCTCCCGCTTACTAAACGGGTGCTCTAACCAACTGAGCTATGAGAGCTGATTTTAGCATTTTCTATAAAAGTTGGGTTACAGTGATCTGATATGTTGAAAGTGCTAAGTCACCCCCACCTACCATGAGCATGGTTTCAGCTACTAATGGTTTGGAGGAGTGTGCAAGCCCCCCTAAAGGATCTATAGAAGCACCATAGTAATGCAGTGGGCTGCTGGTTCAATGGGAAAAGGGAGAGGGGAAAGAGGGGGTTGGTGGTTTGTGGGAGTAGGATGGGAGTGAGGTGAGGATGTTAATGGATGGGAGGGGAAAAGGGGTTGGCAAGAGGAGAGGGGTGTTGGCAAGAGGAGAGGGGTGTTGGGAGAGGAGATCTACTGGAATGTCGCTCGCAGGTCAAGGGAATGGGAGAATGTCGAGGCTTGAATGTCAAAGAGGAGGACGGAGCTGGAAGACAGCCGGAGATGGCATTGCAGGCCAGCAAACTAGCAGTTCAGCGGAGACAGGCAGCGCTGGAATGAGACGCATGGGGAAGCAGTGGTCGGGTTCATTCTGCTTCGTCGGCAAAAGAATACCCACGTGTATAAAGAAGGGTTGTGAGACGTCTCAGAACACTTCTTTATACATGAGACGCATGGGGAAGCAGTGGCTGGGTTCATTCTGCCTCGAATAGTGCGAGGCATGGTATTCGAGAGGCCTCGTATAGTACCGGTTGGGAGTAGGCGATGGCACGAATCGAGACACGCGTGATCAGTAGCAAGACAGAAGGACGGTGAGGAATAGGGTGGGAAAGTGATTCAGATTTCTCTGCTTACCCCGCTTCTCTCACCTCCGCATTTGGGTTAGCTGAAAGCCATCCACAACCTCATATCCATGGCTTCGAGTTTTTGAGAATTTTCAAAAAGCCCTGGCTTTGACTGCCTCAAAACAGCCCTCCCTCCCATGGGTCAGCCTCCCACACACGGGTCAGCCTCCCACACACGCCAGCACGTGCCACCACCACCACCTTTCCTTCTTTCTTCACCTCCCTCTGACTTACCTCCTTGTCTCTTTTGCTCCACCTCCCCTTCTCCTTGTCCCCCTTGCCGCTTCCTGCCCAACTGCTTACTCCTCGCACAACCCTCGTCTCACTCCTCAGTCCCCAACTTCTGAAAGCGAGTTCTTGCCAATTGCGGCTCTTCAGTTCCGTGTCTCTGCTCTCCTGATCCCACGGCCACAGGTCAGGTGCTGTTAGTGTGGGAAGCGAAAGGAAGCGGGGGAGGGAAAGGGGGAGACGGGGGAGAGGGCTGAGATGCTGTGAACTGGGAGGCAGTGAGCTGGGAGGCAGTGAGCTGGGAGGCCGTCAGCTGGGAGGCCGTCAGCTGGGAGGCCGTCAGCTGGGAGGCCGTCAGCTGGGAGGCCGTCAGCTGGGGGCCACGATGCGTGCATCCTCTCACGGAAAATGTGGCAATAAGAGTCAGCGATGGAAAATGGCACCCATGGGCAAGCTAGTATGCTCAAATTCACTCTGCTGCTTAGCGCCAAAAACGCCACACCGACTGCTAAAATCTGTCGCGGATAGGCGATGATGACGGGTAGGCGACGATGACGGGTAGGCGACGATGACGGGTAGGCGACGATGACGGGTAGGCGATGATGACGGGTAGACGATGATGACGGTAGGCGATGATGACGCGCATTCCGACTTCTGCCATTGATTGGTGCGTTCACGCGCGGCGGGTGCGGCGAGTGCTGAAGTTCTTAATGCTGTAAAAGTCATCTTTGTGAGTTGCGGGCGCACACGAAAACAACGGCACGCAGAGATTTGCTTCGCCATAGGCTCTTCGCCATACGCTCTTCGCCATACGCTCTTCGCCATACGCTCTTCGCCATACGCTCTTCGCCATACACTCTTCGCCATACACTATTCGCCTTGTTGTAACCACACGACATGGCTACATCGCACTCAACCCTTGTAGTGATGAGTAGGTAGATGCGGAGTTTAATCGGACAGAGATCATAACACGCGCGCGATCTAAGAGTTTGCGCGACCTAATTAGTTGTTTGCTCTAAGCGCTATCTACTAGGTTGCTCCACGAATTGTTAGAATCTTGCTCTAAGTGAAAAGCTGGAAGGGATTTGCGAATCAGAATGTGAAAGTGCTGAGGGCCTATCTAGAACATGAATTGTCGAGCTTGGCTAAGTGCTGGCTAGGTTTTCACTAACTCGTTTGTGGTCCTGATGCTGACGACGAGGAAAGTGAAACTCTCGGGAAAATATGTTTTTTCTTTCAGTGTAACAACATGTTACCAAGTGCAAACACAGCCTGAAATGAACACGTCTTTCCGTTGCAATGACTTCCAACAACAAAGGATCACGTGACTCTATAGTGTCACGACTCAGCCTATAGCGAGAGCCCTGAGTCACGGGTTTGTGATATGATGATCCAACAGTCGCGATCTCGAATTAGCGACCTTTAGTCCAGTTTCTAAGTGTAACAGCGTCGCGTACTGTGGAGATTCGGTTACCTCGATCTCACACATTCTGGTATGAAGGCATAACGGCGGAGGCATGGGCGCAAAGGAGGAGGATGGCGGAGGATTTGTTCCGCCCGCTGAGCGAGAGGTGCGCGGGGGAAGCGGGTGAGCGGGAAATAGGTAAAGAGAGAGGGCGCGAAGAGTGAGTGGAAGAGTGAGAATGCGAACAAGCGGCAGCGGCAGCGGCAGCGGCAGCGGCAGCGGCAGCGGCGATCGGAATGAGCAGCCCAGCGGCGCGCGGGCGCGAAGAGTGAGTGAGCGGCAGCGGTGACCCGAATGAGCAGCCCAGCGGCGCGCGGGCGCGTAAGGCAGTAGCGCGAGCGCCGCTGCCGCGCCGAGTGCGCGAGTGGCGTGTGTGCACCAGCGGGAAGCAAGCAACGAAGCTTCGTCAGAAGCTTGCATCCTGTCTGCCGCGTCTCCCTCCACCCCTTGCGTGCACACGCCGCTGCTCCCTACTCCCAGTCGCCCCCACTCCCATGCGCTCCTTTTGAGTCGACTCAAAAGGTGACTTTTGACTTTTGAGTCGACTCAAAAGAGGTGACTTTTGAGTCGACTCAAAAGTCACTAAGTCACCTAGGTGACTTTTGAGTCGACTCAAAAGTCACCTCTTTTGAGTCGACTCAGAAGTCACCTCGTCTCCCCTCCACCCCTTGCGTGCACACGCCGCTGCTCCCTACTCCCAGTCGCCCCCACTCCCATGCGCTCCTCGTTATCCCTCTCTCCACCTTTCCTGCGTTGCACCTATTTTTCTGAGTCCGTTCCCCACCCGAGCCTCAGACGTGCTGACTGCCATTGCACTCCTCTCTTCACCTCACCCCCACCCCCCCCTGGCGGCGCAGCAGTGGGGGCAGACAACCACCGCGGGCATCGTTGACTGCCATCGCGCTCCTCTCTTCCCCTCATACCCCCCATCCCCTCCCCCTCGCCCAACCCTGTCCGTCGCGGCCCCTTTCCTGGCAGGAGTGGGTGGCCCCCCAGGCTGTGCAGCAGTGGGGGCAGACAGCCACTGCGGGCATCATCGCCTGCCATCGCGCTCCTCTCTTCCCCTCATAACCCCCATCTCCTCTTCCTTTCCTGGCAGGCATGGGTGCCCCCCTTGGCAGCGCAGCAATGGGGGCAGACGACCACCGCTGCTTCCCACTCCCGTGCCCCTCCTCACTTCCCCTAATCCCTGCCCCCAATCCCCTTCCCCCCACCCAACCCTGCTTGGCAGGCATGGGTGCCCTCTCTGGCGGCGCAGCAGTGGGGGCAGACCACCACTGCGGGCATCGTTGACTGCCATCGCGCTCCTCTCTTCCCCTCATAACCCCCATCTCCTCTTCCTTTCCTGGCAGGCGTGGGTGCCCCCCCTGGCGGCGCAGCAGTGGGGGCAGACGACCACTGCGGGCATCATTGCCGGCATGATGCTGGGGGCCAGCCGAGAGGCCGCACGGACCCAGGTGAGGTGCACTGCTCCGTGTGGGAGGTATCAGCGAGGGGAATGAGGGAAGTGAAGTGGTTGGAGAGGCAGACGACCTCCGCGGGCATCATTGCCGGCATGATGCTGGGGGCCAGTAGAGAGGCCGCTCGCACCCAGGTGAGGCACACCCAGGTGAGGCACACCCAGGTGAGGCACACCCAGGTGAGGCACACCCAGGTGAGGCACACCCAGGTGAGGCACACCCAGGTGAGGCACACCCAGGTGAGGCACACCCAGGTGAGGCACACCCAGGTGAGGCACACCCAGGTGAGGCACACCCAGGTGAGGCACACCCAGGTGAGGCACACCCAGGTGAGGCACACCCAGGTGAGGCACACCCAGGTGAGGCACACCCAGGTGAGGCACACCCAGGTGAGGCACACCCAGGTGAGGCACACCCAGGTGAGGCACACCCAGGTGAGGCACACCCAGGTGAGGCACACCCAGGTGAGGCACACTGCACATGTTAATTGCACATGTTAATTGCACATGTTAATTGCACATGTTAATTGCACATGTTAATTGCACATGTTAATTGCACATGTTAATTGCACATGTTAATTGCACATGTTAATTGCACATGTTAATTGCACATGTTAATTGCACATGTTAATTGCACATGTTAATTGCACATGTTAATTGCACATGTTAATTGCACATGTTAATTGCACATGTTAATTGCACATGTTAATTGCACATGTTAATTGCACATGTTAATTGCACATGAGCCACACTGCTCGCACCCAGGAGTTCCACACTTCTTGCGCTGCGTGGCACACCTGGCTCAGGCCGGTAGCTGGCTGCAAGGGGTACGACTGAATTGGTTCGAGGGGCGGACACGATTGGTGCTTGGGTTATTGGAGTGCAGAGATGAGGTGAGATGCGGTCCTGGGAGGTGACAGGCAGGCGGGCAGAGCAAAGGGGAGTGGCATGTCGGCACATTCGAGGCCAAAAGCTAGTTTGTGGGTTCCTTCAGGGCTCTCTTCTGTTGTCACGCTTCTTTCTCTTTCCAGTCCCCCCCAATCACCTGAGAGGTGTGGCAGCTGGATTGCCGTTTCTGTTATTTCCATGTGACACTGCCTCCCTTCTCCTTTCCGTTCCAATACCCTCCAGGCCTCCTCTCCGTTTTCAGTGCACCACAGCCACCGTCAGCAGCACACAACCCCGCCCTCCACCGCAGCAGCACCACCCCACGCCCCCCCTCACGCCCCCCCTCGCGCCTCCCCCTCGTCGCGCTACGCAGCAGCTCGCCTGGCAGCAGAGCAGCGGCTGGTGAGGGTGGTGAGGGCGTCAGTGGCGGGCGGGGCACAGCTGGGCGCGCTGGCAGGCGTCTTCTCCGCCTCTCAGCTGGGCCTCCGCGCACTCATGCTGGCGTGGAGAGAGGAGCAGCAGGGGCGGAGAGAGGAGGGTGGAGCGCTCACACTAGCACAGAGAGAGGAGGGGGTGGCACAGAGGAGGCGCACACATGAGGGCGGTGGCAGCAGTAGCAGTAGTAGCGGCAGCGGTAGCGGTGGTGATGGTAGTGCCAGAAGTGGGGAAGCGGGGGGTGGGGATGTGGGGAGGGACAGCAGGGGGGGGTGGCAGGGGGAGGAGTTGTGTGAGCCTGACGTGGCAAGCACTGTTGGCGCTGGTGCCATCACTGCTGGGCTTGTGGGTCTAGTCGGTGAGTCACACTCTTCCCCCCACGCACATCACATCCCCACTCACACTCGCTGACTTACTCAGCCTCAGCAGTACCCCTCACTATCCGTGAAGAGGGGTGGCAGGGGGAGAAGTTGTGTGAGCCTGACGTAGCAAGCACTGTTGGCGCCGGTGCCGTGACGGCTGGGCTTGTGGGACTAGTTGGTGAGTCAATGACTAGTTGCTGTGCATTGGTTTGGAGCCTCAAAAGCAAGCACTGTTGGCGCTGGTGCCGTGACGGCTGGGCTGGTGGGACTACTTGGTGGGTCCATGAAGATAGTTGCTGTGATAGCCAGTGCATTGTTCAATCATCCTCCCTCCCCAGTCATCACACTGGCTGGCATTCTCACGCATCCCCACTAACCCTCACTATCCTCCAAGAGGGCCTGGCTTGGATCGGAATGAGCCGAAAGGGCAATTGGCTGGCACGGATGTGAGAGTGGTTGGCAGGGCAAAAGGAGACGAGCTATATTGGAGTGAATTTTGAGAATTCTCAAAAGTCACTCCAATTGGCTGGCACGGATGTGAGGTGAGAGTGGTTGTTAGGGCAAAAGGAGACAGCAGCAAGTGGGTTGGACCAGTCGCACCTTGACGGTGGCAAGATCCTTGATGCTGGGCGAGCAATCTCGACCTCAAGAATCTGATCATATCTAGCTACCGAGGCAAGAAAGTTGCCTGACAAATGGGGAAAGGGTGTCTGATGGGTGACTTACCTTGTGTGGTGCTACGTCTGGACTGGCGCTCCCAGTTGGATGCAACAATCATGTCGCTGCTCCCTGCCAGGGGTTTGGCGGGTGAGGTAGACATGGTAGTTGATAACGAGGCTTGGAAGATTAAAATCAGCAATAACATAGTGATTTGTGAGTCAAATGAGAGAGGTTGCGGAGCGGCTTCTGGTTACTGTTGCTTGTGTTATGGAAGGCTGGGCTTGGGAGGTGGTGTGAGTCAGTGGGCTGTTGATGGGAGAAGGGGAGAGGAAGGGGAGAACATTCAAATTTTCAAGTTCAGAAGGCAATTCCACGATTTTGTTTTTGTTTTGTTTTGTTTTGTTTTTTTTTTCCTTTCTTTCTTTCTTTCTTTCTTTTTTTTCTCGCGTATCACATATTTCCGAGCATACTGCAGATTCGCGTATGTACGCTTTCGTAAACACATCATACGATTCTCTGCCATGAGCAGAGCAGGTGTGGCTGGTGCCACGTGGGCCATACCATTGCTGGTGCCACGTGGGTTTCGGTTTGGTAAACAAGCCATGTGTCTGCAGACCAACACTGCCAGCAGCTGCTGTCTCAGGTGGCCCAAGGCATGAGTCGGATTGGCGACTTTTGAGTCGACTCAAAAGTCACCTCAATCCAACACTGCCAGCGGCTGCTGTCTCAGGTGGCCCAAGGCATGAGTCGGATTGGATTGGCGGCAGCACTTGAGTGGTGAGGAGAGGCGAGATTGCCATAGTTAGTGGAGAGGTTGGCAGAAGTGGGGAGTGAGGTACGGCGCGCACCAGAGGGTGGCGAGCTGCAGAGGTGTGTAAGGGCAGGAGTGAGGTACGGCGCGCACCAGAAGGTGGCGAGCTGCAGATGTGAGTAGAAAACGCCACGTTTTGCATCTTCTACTCACATGAGGGTGAAATGCAAATCAAGGAATTCTCACATGGCTGTGAGCCTTGAACCCAGAGAGTGTGGACGCTGCCATAAGGAGAGGAACGGGAGAGACTTGAGCGAGCCTCACCATGGTGTTCTCTTGTGCAACTGACGTTGGACGGAATACATTTGTGTGCGACGCACGTAATCAAGTTTGGCACTCTAAAATCCACAATATCCAGGCTCGCTGGTTTCCAGTGTCTTTCCCTTCCACCTTTTTTCTGTACTGCTGTACTTCCGCTTGTGCAGTTTTCCTCAAATACCACCACCCCCACCTCCCATTGCATCCTCCCTACCTCTCCCCCCCAGCCACCCATGCCTTGCCTGCCCATCGCCTCAAGGCGGCTGCTCTGCACACCATCGCCGGTGCTGCCCTCGCATTGCCCCTGGGTGAGTCGCACCTCATCTCCCCTTGCATCCTCGTCTCCCCCCCAGCCAAAAGCGCCGTGCCTCGCCTGCCCATCGCTTCAAGGCGGCTGCTCTCCACACCGTGGCCAGTGCTGCCCTCGCATTCCCCCTGGGTGAGCCGCACCACACTTGCACCCACTTGCACCCACTTGCACCCACTTGCGTCACTGAGGCCTGCCGCCATGCCCCCTTGCACTCACTATAACATGTCTCCATGCCCCCTTGCACTCGCTATAACATGCCGCCATGCCTCCTTGCACTCACTATAACATGTCGCCATGCCTCCTTGCACTCACAATAACATGTCGCCATGCCTCCTTGCACTCACTATAACATGTCGCCATGCCCACTCACCTTCACTCTTGGACTGCCTTTGTATGAACTGCCACACTTCTTCTCTCAACCTGTTTCCCGAACCAGCTTGTATCATGCCAAACCTGCTCCCGCCTGCCAAACCTGCTCCACCCTGCCAAACCGGCTCCCACCCCACGTGCCAAAGCTGCTCTCACGTACCAAACATACCATGCCAAAACATGCTCACATGCCAAACCTGCTCTCACATGCCTAGCCTGTTCCCACAAGTCACACCTGCTTTAACATCCCCTCGCTCTTACATGCTCGTGCTTGCCTTACTGCAATTCAAAATGGCCTCTTTCTTGCAGTGGCCCCTTCCCATCATCTCCCCCTCCCCAACCTGCTCCCCCTGCCCCCTCTCTCTCTCTGTGCCCCACCTGCAGCCATCCTGCACTCAGCGCTCTACTCCTTGCTGCCCCAGCAGCACAGCACAGCAGCAACACACGACTTATGAGGCGTCTCAACAACCCATTCCTCCTTCTCCCTCTCTCCGTGCCCCACCTGCAGCCCTTCTGCACTCGGCACTCTACTCCTTGCTGCCCCAGCAGCACAGCACAGCAGCACCACACGGCAGCAGCGGAGAGGGGGTAGGTGCTCAGGGGATTTCTCAGGAGAGACCTCAGGTGGATTCTCAGGTGGGCGGTGGCAGCAGCAGCAGCAGCGGCAGCAGCAGCAGCGGCGGTGTGGCGGGAGCTATAGAGCACATGGAGGAGCAATTCATGGGGTCGTTTGGGCACCTGGGAAGCAACCAGGGAGGAGGGAAGAAAGGCGGCAAGGGTGTGGGCAGAGAGGGTGAGGGCGGAGGAGAGGCGAGAGGGGAAGCTTCGGAGGGTGAGGCGAGAGGGAACGATTCACGCAAAATAGTGGCAGGGGAGAGTGCGGGGAGGTAAATGTATCTTTAAAGTCTTATAATTGCGAAACTTGAAGAGACTTTTTCTCTCAAACTGCTGTATAAAGTCGCATGAATCAGTTTTCCACACAGCAACCAGTGTCTTCGACAAATTGCCGAACATTGTTACTAACAGCGACGCTGCGTTAGGAGACAGACTTGTTTGTCAACATACACATTTATATATGAAGATTCTGTATGTTTACTACTGTAGGCCCCGTCCAGCACTGGACATGGTCATGCCCTATGGGCAGGGCACCCCTCCAAGCAAGATGCAATGGCTGAATGAAGGGCCATTCATGTAGTGAGTGTGTTTTGAGACGTCTCAAAAGTGCTTCAGGCCTGTCCAGAGCAAGAGTGAGTGAGGAAGGAAGTAAACGCATTCCAAAAAAGGTAAACTGGTGAGAAGGGCAGGACAGGGGAAGGAAACAGGAGGCAGTGCAGGCAGTAGGGAAGGGGGGTTGAGGGGAAGGGGGATGAGGGGAAGGGAGGTGAGGTGACGCGGAAAGAAATGGACATATGGTGTACGACATGCAGAATCAAAAATACCTCACTCAAAAGAAAGAGGGTTGACTTTTGAGTCGATTCAGAAGTCAAGAGAGATGGACATCCAATGTACGATATGCAGACTCAACAAGACCTCATTCAGAAGATAAAGGGGCTGATTCCATTAGCTGACATGTACGTCATTCCCAAGACACACACATACCAGCCCATTCCCTTGCAGGAAACAAAGGAAAGGAGCCAGAGTTTTAACAACATCACATGTACCACCGCACTGCAATTACACTGAAAAAGGATTCTAGCAGCAGGAGCCCCGCACCTACTTTTCTGTGGAATGTTGAAAGCAGGTGTTCAAAAGTCAGGCCCGCACCTACATTTCGGCCTTATTTGGAACTCCAAGCAACTCTGTGGGTGAGCCATTGGTCGTGGACCGAAAGTACATCGCTGCTTCAAGGGAGGATGCAGACATCTCTGCTGCATCCAAAACCTCTCTGTCAGTCACCTTCATTTTCCTCTTGCCAAAATCCCCTCCTCCATTTTCATCTCCCTCTTGTCACTCCCATTGCCACCTTTCCTCCCCTCCCACTCCCATTGTCACCTTTCCTCCCTCCTGCCGCTCCCATTGTCACCTTTCCTCCCTCCTGCCACTCGCATTGTCACCTCCCTCGTTCCAATCACAATCCGAGTGTTTCTGCCACTCACATTCCGCTCACCTTGCTTTCATTCGTCCCACTCTTCTTGCTGCTGGTCCTGCCGGGCATGTGAGCTTGTGGGAGGGCCAGTGCGCCTTTTGGCACTCTCTGCTGCAATACGCCACCTTGCCACACCCACCGCACCTCCTCAGCTTCACATCACCACCCTTCACCGTCCCACACCTCACAGCACTACACATACGCTCCCCACCAATTGCGGGACCAGTGTATTCTGTACCCGAAGCAGGTGCATTTGCATGGTTTGGCACAACACTGGTCGGTGGGGCAGCAGGGGTGGAAGAGGAAGCAGGGGTGGAAGAGGAAGCAGGGGTGGACGAGGAAGCAGGGGTGGAAGAGGAAGCAGGGGTGGAAGGGGCAGCAGAGGTGGAAGGGGCAGCAGGGGAGGCAAGGCGGCAGCACGGCTCCCCCAGCAGCATCTCTCGCAGACATGCCACCAAATTGACTCCCCCCGGCCACGGCTTCAGATAAGCCGACTCCTCCCCCTTCTCGCACGTCCCATCATCTTCCCCCCTCCCTTGGTTTCTCCTGTTTCTCCCAGAGCTGTCGCTGCGGTTGCTGCTCCCACTGGCACCACCGGAAGGCCCGCTATCATCCTGCATGTCTTCACAGAACCTGGGTATGGAAGCCCTTCTCCACAACTCATGCCCCTTAGCACTCGCAAACACCTCTCCCTCCTTTCCATCCCAACTGGCCCGCCCCTTGCTGCCCTCGCACCTGTCTCTCAACACCTCAGCCTCCAGCTTCATGCCGCCCTGCCACGCAAGCTCCACCGCTAGGCACCACATTTGCACCTCTTCCCACACCCTCCCATCATCTTCCTTTCCGTCTCGCAGCCTGTGTAGGAACTTCAGGTCCGTGACTCCCAGGATGGGGGCAGCCCAGTTTAGAGCCACCGTCAGCAGGAAGAGAACAGGAAGCTGTTCTGCCCGAGCCTGCACCGCAGGCGATCTTAGATAGCCAGGCGCACTGGCAGCGAGAGGCACACCCATACGAGCAGCGAGCCGTTCGAATTCGGGAGAGAGGGGAGAGAAGATGGATACAAAGCGGTTAAAAAGGGTGGTGACAGGTCGGTAGGCGTAGTTGGCGATGAGCAAGAGGAAGGGGATGGGACGGCTGAAGACCCCAAGGCACTCATTGCACTGCGCACATGCAGGTGGCCTGACCAGAAACCCAGCAAACTCCACCAGAAACTCGGCATCGGCAGTGCAGCGAACGATGGGGTATTTCCTCTGCACTAGCGGCAGCAGCGATGTGAGCAGCTTGCGCAGCAGCCCCTCGTCGTCGCTCGTCCTCAATCCTTCAACTCTAACTTCTTCCCCACGCCCACTGCTCCTTTCCCCCCGCTTGCCCCTCCCTTTGTCTCCTCCTTGCCCCCTCGCAGTCAAAGATGTCCTCTGTCCGCCTTTCTTTCCTGCCCCACGCTGCCCTGCTGTCCCCTTTGCTTCCTCCACAATCCTCAGGTGGAAGCATCTCGCACTGGGGTCATCAGGAAGCTTCACAACAGCTTCCTCGCCCTGAGGCCACTCCTCCCACTCCAAGGGAAAGCTGCCTCCGTCCAGCGGCTTGGGGATGGCGCCGAGCCTCACCAGCAGGCTCGGAAGGTCCCGAAGCGGATGGCGCATGGGCCGAACCTTCCCCTGGGGGTTGTCTTCGCAGCACTGGCTAGCGGGGATGGTTTCAGACCCATACGTGCGAGCCCACTGCAGAATGCAGGCAGCACGATACGTGAAGACTGCAACGACCGGGTTTGTGTTCACAGGCACAAGTCGCACCAGAGCAGCGTCAGTGGAGGTAAACTCTGCTGCCACTGATGCAGACGATTCTGGCAGCGCTGATACTGGAGAGATAGCTGATGCTGCTGTTCCCATGCCTGCTCCCCCTCCTTCACCCTGCGCCCTCCCTCTCAACCTCTCCCTGGCCGTCTCAATAGCTGCATCTTCCACCCTAGTCTTGCTCGCAGTGTTCCCATCCTGGAAATAGAAATCACTCTCCTTGCAGTATTGCGGCTTGGACAAAACTGCGGCGGCCGAAAGGGCAAAGTCAGTCGCACCCACGCCACTCACATACATGCCCTTGGGAGATTTTGTTGCGCCTACACTGCACCTGCACCTGCCACTGCCACTGCATCCGCCGCTGGTTCTGCCATCGCCACTAGAGTTGTAGCTGCTGCTGCTACCACCACCGCTGTCCCCCTCACTACAGTGGCTGCACCGGAACTCCCTCCCTTCCCCCCCTCCATGCTCCAGAATCCAAGCCATGCCATCCACATACCTCTCCCACACAGGCCCCTTCAGATGCTCCCTCCACTGCCCACCCTGCCCATCCTTCTCCATCTGCCCTCCCACTCCACCCCATCCTCCTACAGCTCCTCTCCCGCCTCTCCCCTTTCTCTTTTCATGCGCCGTCTTCCCTGAAAGGAGACTCTGCACGAGCCTACTGAATCCTCCGTCCATGTCCCAGCCTGCTCCCCCCCGCCTCTCTCCATGCACCTTTTCCAGCCCGCCTGACAGCAGATTCTGCATGAGAACACCAAAGCCTTCCTCCAGGTCCCCTTTTTCCTTCACCCCTAGAATCTGAACCAGAATGGAAGCAAAAGAGTCATTGTCCTTCTGCTTTCCTGCCCCTAGCTCACCCACGATGGCTGGATAGGCCTTGGAAGTTGCTGCATGAGCCCTACATAGAGTCACGAACCGCGGGCACCTCGCCACATGCACGAGGGAGGCAGCGAAGCTGAGAGCACGGCGGTAGGCAGCGCAGCAGCTGCTGCAGCGCCAGCAACCGGACCACCCTGCAGCATCAGAAGCCATAGCACCAGCAGCAGCAATGACAGAGGCAGAAGAGGCAGCAGGAGCAGAAGTAGTGGAGGCCTCGTTAAAAGCATCTTCGGCAGCCAAAACAGCTGGCAGGATGGATCTGATCCTCCCCAGGTCCATGAGCACGCCCACACGAGGCTCAGCCATCCACTCGAGGAGCATGGCTTCCACACAGGGCAAAGGCGCTAATTCGCACTTTAGTTCAAACTGCCCAATCGGCATCGCCGCCTCCAGAAGCGCTGCTGCTTCCGGCAGGGGGACCTTCAACGAATATTCATAAACACCCTGAACCTGTCGGTTGGGAGTGAGCGGGACGGACGGAGGCTGCCGCGATCGCACGTAGGAGCAAAAGTCTTTGAGGCTGTGCATGATGAGGGCGTGCTGTGTGCGCTGACTCACAGCACGGTCGAAGCAGCACTCACAAACAGACAGGTCCCATCCGCCTCTCACGTCCAAATAGTGCACCATGTCCTCCCGACACAGCAGCTGAAGCTTTTTCGAAAAATTTGCAGCTCTTGCACTCCCAGACTATTCGTTTTTCTCCTCCTCCGCCTCCTCCTCCTCCGCCTCCTCCTCCTCCTCCTCCTCCTCCTCCTCCTCCTCCTCCTCCTGCTCCTCCTCCTCCTCCTCTGGATGTGCTGCCACGTCAGCAGCAGGTGGTGTCACTCCAGCAGCAGCAGAAGGACGCACAGCAGCAGCCGGTGAAGCAGTGTTAGCAGCGACACCTCCGGTGGGTAGAGCAGCAGCAGCAGAAGAAGCAGCAGCAGAATAAGCGGCAGCAGCAGCAGAAGAAGCGGCAGCAGCAGCGTCATCAGCAGCAGCAGTGACAGAAGGAGAAATGCAAGAAGAGCGGATGGCATCTAAAATGGTTTCCCCTTCGTTGCATTCAAAAGTCAGTGTCTCTGGGTGGTCATGGATATTCAGCACGATGACGAAACCATCAGTGGTGTGGTGCCAATGCGTGATCTGCTTCCACTCCGCAAAGTGATAGTGTAACCTGGGTGTACGCCCGACAAAATGGATCTGTGTTGATTTAGAGAGGGAGGGTTGGGTTTTGGGTTGATAGAAAGATAGTCAGTTCAGTCGATTCAAACGGCACAGCACTCACCTGCAGGTTTTGTGTGGATGTGTGAACTCAAATGTTCAGCAAGTCAATGCAGGCAAGCTAGTCATTTCAGTCACAGCACATTACTCACCCCTTGGCGATGGATTCCAATCCGCATTTGCTCGGGCAGCATCGTGAGAGTCATCGCAGTGCACCTTGCGTCATGGTAGGTGCACCCCTGGTACGGTCGCTCTCTCAAAATGCGAATGATTGACTTCTTGGGTGCATCCGTGCGGGAAAGCTCCGACTGTAACGCAATATATATTCAAATATAACGAGGGGGCAGAGGGGGAGGGGAGACAATACGAGATACAATTTGCACAAACGAATGCTAGTACATTGATAAGAAAGTTTCATATGTTGTGCACAGGGGGCTTAATCACAGGCATGAGAATCAGCACGGGCCCGGGCTGGCTGGCGGGAAGTGGACTGCCCAACCGGTAGGCCGGGTCCGGCTCAACCCGCCACTTTCTGTCTTTATGTACAGGACTATTGTAAATGAAGAAAATATTGTATGGTGTGTCACAAATGGTTACTGGAATGACTTACCATCATCCTGTAATGCCGAGCACGTCAGTGACCCATGACTTCTCTTGACGGACAACTTGCCAATACTCCATTGGAATTGTTATAGCAAACACTTCTTGCCAGTCTCTGCAGGACAGAGAGGAGAGGGACAACGTGAAGGACAGATGGAAAACCATGAGAAAGTACTGAAAGGAGGAAGAACAAAAGGGATACAAAACAGCATCACACATCACTATTTTTCTCCACATCTGTAGCATCTGTCTACAAAGCCATTGCTCTAGTGTCATGCTTCTTCCTAAACGCTTACCACCATGTGTGTTAGTATCGAGTATCAATATGACAACATGACTACAAGCACCGCAATGACTGCTTCGTTTTGAGTCAGGTTGGGACCGACCCGTGGTCATACGAACTATGGAGTGTGAAAGCTGGTCACCTTATCACTCGGGATATCGACTGAAGTCACCTTTCGTGGCTCACCATGATATTTGAAAACGTTAGGTCCAAAGCCACCTCTCCGTTGCCTCACCCATTGAATAATTAACATGCATATAGGCAGAAGGTGAGACATGGTTCCTACACACCACCCGCCCGAACCCCATGGGGGCCAATCCAAGCGGGGGTTCCAAGCAACAGAGGAAGCGTAGCTCAGCCACTGCTAGCATGCAGGCAGCTCGCGGCCCATGAGCAAAGCTGCTCATGCAGCTCCTCAATATGACCACATGGGAGCTTTGGAGGGTTCCTTCGCAACGCAATCTTGCCCTCCATCCCACCCCCTTTTTCCAAATTACCAATAGGTAGAAAACACTTACGTTGCAGCCTTTGACGACACAAGGCCGTGCGCAACAATCTGAAGGGCGACCAGCTCTATCATGTCCGACAAGCGCATGTAGGGAAACCGGCCTTCTAGATATTTGGCCCTGGTGCCCAGGTAGGAGATCTCCAGAGCCAAAGGGTCCTCCTTAACGATTGTCTCCGCGCGTTGCTGGTTTGCGTTCTGCTGCTCCATTATTCTGCTCATGTGGACAATTTTGACAAAATACACACAGGAAAAGAAGAAACGGATTGAGAAACAGGGGCATGAATGAAAGTTGCTGATTGCTTTTGGAGAGGGTAAGGCAGACAAGGAGATGGGAAAGAAGGGAGGGGAGAGGGGAAGGCAAGCGCGGATATGGGAAGGCAAGGAGAGTTGGAAAGGGGGGCGGGAAGTTGAAATAGGAGGCAAATAGGGGAAGTGGGGCTTCGGCTAGGAGAAAAGGGGATTTCGGAAAAGTATATTGGGAGGCGGGAAGGGGAAGCGAGGAGGTGGGACTCTGAAATGTGGAGGCGGGAAAGGGCGTGAAGCCCACAACCCATGCCCCAAATCGAGTCTCTTACATCCATGCGCGCTAGCCTCTTCACAAAAAATGACACGTCACCTAGGTTTACATTGTTGCGGAAAAGACTGTAGAATCAATGTTCCCCTTTTCCCATTGTATGCTAAAACCAACAGTTTGCAGCCCTCCAACCTCGCACGTGTCTTTGGCTTCTCTCGCCACACTTCCATATCAGATCATTTACTCTTCATTTTCTCATACCGATATCGATACTTTGTTTCACTTGACGCAATCGGCTTGCGCGTTGCTCTGGCTGCTGTAGTTTTTCCCTTTTAGTGCTAAACAGGTCCTATATTCTTCCTATGATACCTGTAGGAGGTCGAGCCTAACAGCTTGCCGAGAGCCTCTGCAGCTGAGGCATTACCTTTGAGCCACATGCTGGGCACGCACTCACTTTGACTCAAAACGGAATGAACGAGTCATGCTTGGCTTGGCCATTGCTCACGCATAGAGCATACCACAGTATTATGGAATGGGAGACTCGAAGTGGTTGGGAGGGGCAATAGGTGGTAAGGAGAGTAATTGGGATTGTTTTGGGATGACCTGGAGGATCTGAATTAGCTACTGTTAAGTCATTGTGACAGCTAAAACCATCGTGCTTGCTGGTGGTCACAGGTTAGGCCAGTCAGAAGTAGGTCAGTCACAGAATTGGGATCTCACAAGCTAGGCAAGTCACAAGCTAGGGAAAGTACAAGCCAGCTCGGTTACAACCCTGGTAACTCACACGCTTGGTCAGTTAAAACCCTGGTAACCCACACACTTGGTCAGTTAAAACCCTAGTAACCCACACACTTGGTCAGTTAAAACCCTGGTAACTCACACGCTTGGTCAGTTAAAACCCTGGTAACCCACACACTTGGTCAGTTAAAACCCTGGTAACCCACACACTTGGTCAGTTAAAACCCTGGTAACTCACGCTTGGTCAGTTAAAACCCTGGTAACCCACACACTTGGTCAGTTAAAACCCTGGTAACCCACACACTTGGTCAGTTAAAACCCTGGTAACTCACGCTTGGTCAGTTAAAACCCTGGTAACCCACACACTT